ATTACAGCTTAAATAATACTTGTGGATTAGTTTGTAAAACACTTTGAAGTTTTCTACAACTTCTTTAAATTTAAGACCACATTGTTGTGACACTGTTCAGGTGTATTTTTGAAGTGGACATGATACATGCAATTTGAAATAAGAAATGTAAAATGTGATAAAAATACATTTTTGTGTTTGATTCCTATTCAAGACACTTTGATAAGAATGACTATATATATAATATAGGCGACTACAGAGTATCTTTGTTTACATTTTTGGTTGGTGGTGTGCCTCGTGATTTTTTCAATGAAAAGAATGTACCTTGGCTCAAAAAAGGTTGAAAAACACGGGATTGAAGGATTTCTCAAAAATACATGGAAGAATCACGGCAACACTCCAGATATGTTTAAGGTGATAAAATAACATCATAACATGATGTAGAGCTCAAAAAAGTCCATTTTACATAATACTGCTCCTTTAATTGGTATTATGAGAAACTGTCCTACACACTATACCTGCAGCAGTCTTCGGTCCTCCTCGCTAGCAGTCAGAACCCTTTGCAGCTCGGTTACTTGCTCCTGCAAACCTTCGGTGTTCTTCCCGGACCGACTTATAGTATTTGTAAGCGTACGAACCTGCTCCCTCAGCCCGTTCTCATGCTGCTCAGCTCGAGTCAGCGACACCGCCAACCTCTCCTCGCTGACCCTGAGCGCTGCGCATTGATCTTCACTCTGGCACAGTTTTCGTCTTGTTTCTGTAAGTCTTTCCTGAAGTGTGGCAGCTTCTGCATCCAGCTCTGCTGTTCTGAGGTGGGCCCTCTGTAGCTCGCCTTGAAGGGTGCACTGAGAAAGCTCCAGGTGGTTCGCTCTGCTTTGTGCTGCTTCCAGAGACTTTTTCAGTTTCTGGTTTTCAGCATTTGCACACGTTTCTAACTCCTGCAAGACCTCCAACTTGTCCTAAAGGAGATATTTCACACAGACCTTTAGTAGACCTTCACATAGGCAGCATAATGTGTGTGTTGCACATTGTCAGATTCCTATAAAAATATCCTAAGTCATTTTTTGCCAAAAGATAATTTACGCCAAATAAATAAAACAATTACTTTTTGCAAAAAAAAGACTAAGGTCATTATTTTAGGAAGGTGATGATATACAGAACATGATGATTTGGCTTCCATGGCAACAGATTTAGATGATAACATTGGTTTCTGTTTTTTAAACGTCAGAGCATGTGAAGAACTTTGTGTTGATGTGTTATTCTCATGGCCTCCCTGCTCCCTTCTTGGAGACGCTACTGAACAATGCAACATAAACATTAATGTGCATGTTTGAAGCCAGTCTTACCCTCTTGGAAAATCACTATCCATTTGTCTTTAACATACCTGCAATGACCTGCATTTAGTCTGAGAGGCTTGAAGAGAAGTCTTGATCTGAGCCAACTGACCCTCAAGGTTTCTGCTTTCCTTCTCTTTACAATGTGCAACATCCTGCTGCAGGGTGAGGGACGTTTGCACCTTATGCAACTGTCGTGCCATTTCTTGTTTTCCTAAAGCAGTAAGCACATTTCATATGTCTGTCAGTTAGCAACTGATATTTTCTGATTGTTGGTGGGACCCCTTACCCTCCTCTGATAGCCTGAGGGAGCGCTGTGCCTCCAGCAGCTGGTTGAGCGATTTCTCCTGAGAGACTTTCAGCTCAGTCACACGTTGACCCAGACTGACTATCTGGGCCTGAGCTTCATCCTAAATCAAAAAGATGATTCACAGTTAAGATTTTGTTAAAAATGTTAAGAATAGGATTATAATATGTTAGTAAGACTTTTATTTATGCCTTTTCTCTTCGGGCGTTCTTGAGTTCCTTCATGAACTCCTGCAGAGTTGCTTGCACATATTTCACATTTAATTCTTCATCTTCAGAATTAAGTAAGGGTAGTCCAGATTCTTCTGGTCCATACTCTCCCTCTGATAAGAGAAAGCATGCCTTAGTTTCCCTACTTTCAAAAGAAACAAAGACAACTGCAGGGTATCTTCACTCGAAAAACACAAAATCTTACCAAATATTTTTCTAGCACAAATATCTTAGTACACTTGAAATAAGACAAAACTAACTCACAATTAACTTTTCAGCAAGATATAAGAGCTTGTTTTAAGTCAGTAATTCCTTAATATTGATGGCAGATTATTTCACTTATAACATTGGAAAAATGTATTGTAATAGGTGAGATAATCTGCCAGTAGAACCAGTACTTTTTAATCAATATTAAGGAATTACTGACTTAAAACAAGCTCCTGCATCTTGCACAAAAGTTAGTTTAGTCTAAACTGTACTAAGATATATGCACTAGGAAAATGTTTTGGAAGGTTTTGTGTTTTTTGTAGTTTTGCAGCATGATACAATGTCATCTTTACCTGTCACATGGAAGTGTCTCCTTGAAGGAGAGGAAGATCTTGTTTGCGATCCACGTTTGTGCCACAGCCTCACACGGTTGACACCAACAGTGCAGTGCAGAGCTGCATTCACCCCTGCCAGCTGGTGCTCCAGGTCCCGACATACACCTTTGCTCAGACTCAGCTGCTCCTCCAGGCTCCGGGCCTTGTTTTCAGCCAGACTGAGTTTGACAGAAAGTTCACTGATTTGCGTCTTGGAGTCCTCTAGCATGTCTTCGAGCTGAGATGTGGTTTCTCTGTGCCTCTGGTCGCTCTGCTGCTGATTGGCTTCTCTTTCATGCAGCAGCTCTCGGCTTTGCCGCTCAGCTGTTTCCAGTTCCATCACACAGCACTGCAGACCTGCAACCTGAAAACAAAGCCACAGTCCTGTCTGTGTGCACTGTGCAGGCGATATGTTGTGTGGTGACTTAGATAGCTTAATGTCCCTTATAATATTTTACTTTTAAAGACAGGACAGTGTTTTCAAACACATTTGTTGAGTCCTGTAAACTTGCTGGACTTTACTGCTTACATCTTTAAGTACATGAATGTAAACAAAAGCTGATTTAGCAAGAATAATACGGAAACTTTTATTTAGAAACTCATCTGACCTTTGTATTTCTATTGGAATTAAATAAACTAAAAGATTTGCTCAAGTGATTTTGAAGGAATAGCAAAATGATCAACATACAGAAGTAAAGAGCATTAAAACGACTTGGCTCATTAGATCTGGTGTGATTCTCAAAAGACTTTGGGTTTTTTGAAAGAAGTTGTGATTGAGAAGATGGCTATGTTGACATAGTTTCAGGAAATAATTTTTAATCAGTATATGAAACTGCAGAAAACCTGAAAATTTTAAAAATGTCTTCACAATGCAACCACAACAGGCCACACAGTGGTTAGCAGTAGGGGTGAGCATTAATTGTATTGTTTATAATTTATCGTGAAAATTTCCTATCATGATAGGAATTTAGATTTTTTTTTTAAAGGTTTTATTGGCTCTAGTGACCTTTATTTGATAGCTAGTTGACATCACAGTAGGTAATGAGAGAAGGGGAAGACATGCAGCAAAGGTTGCCAGGCTGGGAATTGAACCTGCAACGGCCACGTTGAGGACTGAGACCTCCATATGTGGACAGTGCTTAACCCCTGCACCACCACAGCACACCCAGGAATTTAGATTTATTGTTGTCAGAGTAATAAATGTCAGTCATTGATGGTAAAAAAACAAAACTGACGGTATTATCAGAAATGTTATTTATGCTACTTTCTCCGCTTTTTGAGAGAGTGTAAAAAATATATGTGTAAATTCAAAATTAAGGTTTGAATGAAGTTACTTGTGTGCAGCTTAGTGATATAAATCACACTTTTTAAAGTAACTGGCCTCCTGAAGAAGCCAATTTCAAATGGGAACATTTTTCAAAAACAATGAATGCTATGCCATGCACTCGCAGTGGCACAAAATATAAGCAAAAAGTTGTTTTGTTGTTTCCACAACACTACCAGAAAATATCGTGATGAAATTCTATGTAATTGGCGTGTTTCCATTAAGCAAATTTATTTTCGTTATTCTAATTTGTGCAGTTATATAGCCAAAGGAAACATAGCTACAGAAAACACAAAGGGAGCTGAACTAAAGCAGCACAAGAAGAACAAAATGAACTAAAATGCAAAATGAGAACTGAGCTAAACATAAGGATTGAATTAATAAAACATGACCTAACCACAATAAGGAACACAGATGAAGAAACTGTTTAAATTTTAAAATACTGTGTTGATCCCAAAAGGAAATTAAATGTTGTAGCTGATATTAATTGAATATGATAAGGGGGGGGGGGAATCCAAAAGCCATTAATGAAGAACTCAGAAACAATCAGAAAAGAAAACACAAATGAAAAGCAAAACACCAACACTAGTAGATCATTTACCACTTACCTCACTGAGCGCTGCTTCCTTGGCAGCCTCGCTCTCCAGTGCTCTCTGACTGAGAACAAAAGCCTCCCGCTGTGCTTCCTCTGCCCTCTGTTCCTCCTGACATACTTGGCTCTGCAGCTCCACCAGTTCCTGCTTCTGCCGACTGTTCTTGCTTTCCAGGACCTTTATCTGATAGCATAAAGATTCCACAAACTGATTCAAGCAAAACATGAGACAGATATTATAAGTCGAAGTAATCCTACCACCTGTCTGCGTAGTTCTTGCAGCTCTCTGCGGGCCTCCAGATGAGACTTCTCCAGCTCCCTCATAGAGCTCCTCAGACTGGTTGCTTCTTTGTGTGTTGAGCTGCTACTTTCTTCCAAGATGGACTCATTATGTTGCTTCTCCTCCAAAGCTCGTCTGAGGCTGGTCAACGTAAATTTAAAAGGGGCGTAACATTGAAATTGAGCGTTTTCTTGCTACAAAAATAGACTTTGAAGAACATATCCAAACTTGTGGGGTGACTGCACCTGTTGTTTTCACTCTCAGCTCTTTTGATGAAAGCTCTGAGCTCCTGATTAGAAACCTGGATGGCTTCTCTCTCTCTGGTCTCATCAGCCAGTTCTCGCCTCAGCTCCAGTGCCTCTTTTCGTAGCTTGTCTCGCTCCTGCACACAGCCTTGAAGCTCTCTGTGAGCCTCAGTCAGATCTTGTTTCCCTTCAAGAAGTCTATCGTCTGCCTCTTGCAGCCGACGACGAAGATCCTCTAACTTGATGACCAAATAAATAAAAACATGGAGTGCAAAATAACTGAGGATTAATCTGATGATTACTTATGAAAGCAATACATTTTGATACAATAGTATGCTGCAAAAACAAAATCTTACCAAGTATTTGGTCTAGTTTCTGATCCAAATATCTCAGTACATTTGAAACATGACAAAACAAACTTTTCAGCAAAATATTGGAGCTTGTTTAGAGTCAATAATTCCTTAATACTGGCTCTGTTGGCAGATTATTTCACTTAACATTAGAAAAATGTCTTGTCCTTATGGAATTCTTTTTGTCACTTTCAAATTTATTAGATCAAACAAATTTCATAAACAGATAACCCTGGTAAATACAAAACACATTTTTTTTAAACTAGAAGAAAGTCTGTGACTTCACTGTGGATTAATTTGTGCAAACTCTTCTTTGCACATTTGTTTTAAATCTGTCATAATGGAGGATTTTCGACCATGATCATTTTAAGCTCATCCTGACAGAATTCATCGTCTCATCAGTCACGGCTCGTCTGCTAACAGCAGTTCCATCCCATCCCACCACTGAGCTTGAGTTTCTTTTTCTGAAATATCATGTTAGTCTTAAGAGAGGTTCATCAGGAAGCACACCTTCTAAAAAGTTATTTTTCTGTCTCATCAGTCCACAAAATATTTTCCAGAAAGTCTCAGATCATAAAAGATGTTTTTCTGGAAAATGTGAAATGTGCCTTACTGGGATTTTTTTTGGCCACTAGTGGTTACTATTGGCCAAAAAAATAAGACAATTCTGTCTTATTGTTAAATCACAAACACTGACTCTACCTGAGCCAAGTGAGGCTTATGGTGCTTTGATGTTCTGGGTTTTTTGTAATTTGCTGGGTGAACTGTAGATGTGCTCTTGTAATAATTTTGGTAGGCCTACTGTGAATGATGGCTCTCACTTTGGTTCGCTGGAGTCCCAAAGTCTTGGAAACGACTTTGTACACTTTCTCAGTTGGACAGACAGAAATGACTTTGTTTCGGATCTGTTCTTGAATTTATTTAGATCCTTGCATGATGTGATGCTTGTTGAAATCTTTTAGCTTGATTTCTGTTGTCCAGTAGGTTCTGTTTGTCATAACATAGGTATAGAGGTCCTAAAAAACACCTGGCTAATCACTGAATTCATCAGTTACCAAAGAGGGCCAATATTTTTTCATACATGACCAGGCTGAGTTGAGTAGTTCTTTCCTTTTGAATCCTCCTGCTCTTTTTGAATCTCCACCTAATATTTTTAGCAGTGTTTTGCTGAGTAGTATCTCATATGATGAGCTCAGCAGTTCCACCAGGGTTTTGCTAATTGCTGCTGGCTAGTCTGAAGGAGCTGGGCAGCAAGTCACAAGCGAGGGCTGCTCTGTGAGGCAGAAGCTCAACCTGGAGACTGCAACTCAGAGGAGGAGCTGCGTCTCAAAGGCGTTGCTTGGACCCACCAGGAGTTTCACACAGCTGAATGGCTGCCATGGGAGATTAAAGGATTTCTCAAACATGCATGAAAGAAACAAGGCAACACACCAGCTACGTTTTTGATGAAAGGAATAACATGATGTAAAGCTCAAAAAAGTCTATTTAATCTAATCATGACCGTTTAATAAATTAAATCATCATTTAAAAACAGCATTTTGTATTGAGTCAGGTGAACTTTGCTATTAAAATCAGTTTGATGATCTTAGACCAGTGGTTCTTAACCTGGGTTCGATCGAACCCCAAGAGTCGGTCTCAGGGGTTCGGCGGAGCCTCTGCCGCGGAGGTAAAGACACACTGTGTAAAGTCGTGATGACGCCCCGCTTTGTCATCACTTACTGCAGAGGATCACGTTACATTACTGAGCCAATCAGAGCTGCGGAGGAGCACTGATTGAAGGAGCTCCACTCACCATGGGTTTGAACTTATGTCTTTAATTACTTAAGCAAAACTCAGTTTTTACCAAATTCTGTAGTCTAAATTTGCTCCTTAGTCGCATCTTTTCGGGGTTGCTACTGCCTCTAGTGGCGTGGGGTGGTAACACAACTAATATAATTACATTACTAAATCAGAATACCGCAACGTATGTTGTGTGTCGGGGGAGAGGGAGGGGGGGTTGGAATAAGAAGGGTTCGGTGAATGCACATATGCAACTGGGGGGTTCGGTACCTCAAAAAAGGTTAAGAACCACTGTCTTAGACATTCATGTGTAAGAAATATATCCTTTATAACATTTAAAATATGTTATTTTAAAGGATGTGTACAGAATTGTTAGAAACTCTGTGACCTATATTTTGTTTTATAGCAACGTGTTGTCGTGGGTAGTCGGAGAGGCAGAGGCCTAAACTTATCCAAGCACAGATAAGACGCTGTTGGGCCTGTGGCCAGGTTCTGTCTCTCCTTATCTTCTCTTTGCAGCTCAGAGTGTAAAAAATCCACACAGAACAGCATGATAAATTGCAGCCTACCAAGAACTGGTGGAGGGAAAGGAGTGAAAGGAGGGGGAAAGGGAGGACGAGGAGAAGGAAGAGTGTTATGTTTAGAGCCCACACAAGATGGTTCTTTCTCATAAACGCTAATGTGAGAAGAAACAAACTAGGGCCGATCAGGCCAATTATCCTTTATTTTATCTGATTTTGGGGGAGAGCAGGGGATGGGAGGAGTGGAGAATCCGAGACACCAGTGTTGTGTTATGTGGTTGGGAGAGGGGGACTCGGAGTCCCAGTGGAGCCAGCCTCCTGGTGTTGCGAGGGAGAAAATAAACACTCCCCCGCTGGCTTATTTACACAAGGGGTTAAGTCAAACTTTTATTTCATATCATGGTACCAGGGACTGTGTCCTCCCCTTGTTTTTCCTCTCTCTGCGGTCCGTCTTCGATGCTCACGCCCTGCCTGTCCTAGTGAGCCAAATTATGGTTTCTAATTGCATTTTTATGTTAATATTAGAGTCAATATGGCAGCAGTTCCCTCTTGTGGATTTGACAAAGTAAATTAAAGCTGAGTAGGAGCCTTAGGGGAGGGAACCACACAAGGGCGTAGGTTCGGTCTAAGTTTTGGTGGGGACCTTTACACCCCTTCACCCCCCCGCAGCACAGTGAAATGCCCAAGAGCACCGAACATTTTGGCACTCACACTGACTGCCTCCTATAGAGCAAACAAAGCGTAACCTGGTTTGTATCAAATGCCATATTTACTGAGATAATTTCACAGTATATTTCATATCTGAGAACTAACACCTCNCCNGNAGCCCTGAAGCTCCAGCCACCTCTCCATCGTTCTGCTCTGCCCCTTGCTCTGCTGCTCATAATTAACAGACCTATTCTACCTCACATTCAGTGCTGACCTTACTAAACACCGGACTTTACAACAAATGCGTTGCGTGATAGATATCTAACTTATGGGTCCACTCACTGTACTTACAGCCGACGTAGCGAAATAACTTCTAATGTCTGTCCTTTTCTTTTTTGGTGGCTACATGGCGACTCAGAAGGAGACGCGTGTGCCCAGCTAGCCGCCGCCTTTTGCAGCTAATCAAAGAACGTCCGACGATTCAACTGACTCCCCCTCCCCCCACCCCCCCGTTCCGACACGGTCTCGGAGGCTCATAATAAATGTCAAGCTAAGAAGCTTCCGTTCCGCGCACCGCCTGTTGCTGCTAATCAAAGATCGTAGATCCATGTTCTTTGAGCCAATATGGCAAAAATTGGTCGGGACTTTTTCATATCCCGTGACATGTCCCTACCGTCCCTACCCAAACCTACGCCCATGGAACCACAACACGTCTCCTTGTACAGCTCAATTCTGCACCTGATGGCACCTCACTGCTCGTAGGTTTTTGTGACAGCTAAAGTCAACATCTTGGTATATTAAATGCCTCTTCCCACATCAGCTCTAATTAATCCAAACTCTTGGAGATGGTAGAGGGGGATCAGAGTTTTTCAACGCTAGCCAAGCCAAACAAGTTTCTTCTTTACCTCATTCTGCATAATTCCTAATTTGTCCAGGGGGTTTGACTGGGATAGCATTGTTTTTTTATATGAGGGGCGCTCACACTTTCTCAGCATGCAAGCTACTTATAAAATGACCAAGTAGAAATCATCTACGTTTTTATCTTCTTACACAGCAAATTCGGAAGTGTCAGCTTTCCAGTGCAAGTGTTGCATGTTAAAAATACAGTGTTAATTCAACAACAGGAGTGTTAGTTTCACTCACTAACACTCACTAAAGAGTTCCAAAGAGTTAAACAAAAACCAATCCAGTCCAGTGTTGGTTTCCTAAATTAACTCCAACAGTCTAAACATATGGTCGCTCATACGGATAGAGCGACCGTATGTTTTCTACGCTCTTTCACTCTTACGTACCTTCCTTTAGGGGGGGGGGGGGGGGGTTTTTTGTTTTTGCTTCCCCCTGA